TCCCTCTCCCTCTCCCTCTCCCTCTCCCTCTCCCTCTCGGTTTTTTTAAGACAGGTTTTCTCTGTGGCTTTGGAGGCTGTTCTGGAACTCACTCTGTAGACCAGGCTGGTCTCGAACTCACAGATATCCTGCATCTGCCTCCCGGGTGCTGGTATTAAAGGTGTGCGCCACCACCGCCCGGCAATTGACCTTCTCTTGACCACAACCCTCTTGACTTTTAGCCAATGCTACAAAAAGAATAAGGGGAAAAGAAAGAAAGGAAAGGAAAAGGAAAAGGTGGAAACCACCTGAAAAAATTGTTCTGCTTCTTGTCTGCCCAGCTTCCTTTAATCCTAGCAGTTGTTAGTAATTTACCATTTTGCTTGGTAGGTACATAATAATCTCATATGCTACCATCTATGTGAGATAGCCAAGTTCCTGGAAAAACCTGCATAATATGTGCATTATTGCCTCTAGGCAGCAGAACAAGTTTATGAGGCAGACACTCATAATTTCACTATTCTATAATGGAGGACACTGAGACTCAAGAAGAGAGTGAGAGGACCAAGTTGTAACCAGCTAGTCTGGCTCCTAGGACTTCCTCCCCAGTACCTAAAACCCACCTCCAACATCTAACTCATGCCCTCCCAACCCTCAGGACCCAGGGTTCACTGACTCCCGTGTCTTCTTACTTCTCCTTATCAAGCCATTATGCAAATGAGTTCCAAGTTAAAATAACCCCCTTTCCCAAGTCCACAGCCTGTCTCAGTTTGCATGTGGCCATGCCCAACTCTCTGTCAGAGATCCTCTCTTGGATGTCTTACAATTATATCAAACATGGTCTATAGAAACTGATCTCCCAGCCTGCCCTCCAAATGCTCTAATTGTCTATGTCTTAGTAAACAACAGAAACCTCTATGATGTTGTGCAGGACATATACCTGAGCTTTGTCACGGTCACCTCCCTTCTCCTTATTCCCTGCAGTCAGTCACAAGTCTTGTTGATCCAACTAAATCTCTGCTGTCTGTCCAAGTCATCCATCTCTACTACCTCTGCCCCAATTCTGTCACCAGTATGCCTCCTGGTCTGAACCACAGCCTCCAGTGACTCACTGCTCCACGCCTCCCCGCCACAGTCCCAGTCATGCCGTTCTCAGTGGTCCACATGCTAACTTCCACACTTTCCTCTTTGTCTCTTTCTCCTACATTATTTCAAACTGTTATTTTAATCAATCTGGGTAGCTAATACCTGTAATCACAACACTCAGAAGGTAGAGGCAGGAAGACCATCCCAAGTTCTCATTCTCTAAATACAGACACACACACACC